TAACAGGGGCGATAGAGTTGTTAGTCTGTTGTTATTGAGTTTGACGAAGTATAGTTCTGGTAAGTGACGCAACGCAGATTCGGGGATAGACAATAGGTTATTGTGGTCCAATTGCAGGTATTGCATGTTTTGACATCCATCAAGACCTCCATCATCTATTTGCTCCAAACGATTATGATTTAGATACAGGTTTCTAAGCAGCCCGTGCTGACTGAAAGCCTGCCCCTCAATGCGACTAATCACGTTATGCTCCAAATGCAACCTGCCTATAGAAGTCGCACCCATAAATGCTTCAGATGTAACTGACGACAAGTTATTATTGTTTAGATAAAGGTTCCAGAGGAAAGGCAGAGTGCTGAATGTGCCACTTTCTATCGTACTAATTGCATTATTGTGAAGAAATAGATTTGCTGTTTTAAGATTGAATATCGTAAGAGGCTGTGTCGCAAATATTTCCTTTCTCAAAGTCGTCAGTGAATTGTAACTCACATCAAAAATAGCAAGGATTTTATTATTGAAAAACATTCGGTTTGGAAGGTCTGTGAGTTGATTATGACGCAGATCAAGGTTGGCGACACGCTTTGGGATAGACTGCGAATCTATCTCACTAATTCGATTGCATCCGAGCTGTAGTTGGCGAAGTGAAACAGGAAGGCTATCAGAAAAAACGCGTTTGTCGATTCGCGTCAGTGCGTTTTTGTCTAGGTGTAATTCACGAAGGCTTTCCAGCCCGTTCCATGCACCCATCTCCACCTGCGCGATATCGTTGTTCCATAGCTCAAGCTCTTCGAGGGCATCTAAACCTGCGAACGTGTCGGCTGCAAGTCTGCTCAGGTGGTTGTTGGATAAGCGCAGCTCGCTCAGAGCGTAAGTGACCAGTGAGCTATTCAACGGCAGTAGCATGTTGGGTATGAGCTCAGATATCTCATTGGCAGACAAATCAAGTATCTCCACTCCTGGTTGCTTTTTATTGAGGATGGCCGCAATTGGGATCTGAAACAAAAACCGGTTCGCCGCAACCGGTAAGATTTATTTCAAGATCTGAAATTACGTACGTGATAACTATGATTTAGTTAAATTATAAAATTTTCAATCTGGTGCCGTTTTAAAAATGCCATTCAATGCTATTACATGATCTTAGAATGTCAAAATTTTTGCTACCATATACTACTTAAACAATTACAAACACTCATTACAGTCTTACTAAACTCAGAATAAGGACAGCTTGTGCGTAACTGTACGATTTTATGCAGGTCTTAGTAAAGTTATAAATCTTTAGATGTCAATACCTCTGTTAGTTTGTTATTGACAAATTCCAAATGTTGCAACCCTGATATATTTTCAAAGGCGTGATCGTCAATAAATTCGATGCCGCAGTCGTGAAAGCTGATGGTCCTAGCGTCGATGACATTCGAAAGACCGTTTGCAGGAAGCGTCCGGAAGTTTCCATTTGAAATCATAAGCAATTGAATGGGGGCGTTGATTCTGCCCAAAGCATCGTTGATGAGGCTTAGATCTGATGCTGTACAGTAAATGCTAACGCCATTTGAACGAGGATAGCACTGACAGGGCTCGATCTCTGCATCTGAGGGACAAGAAAACAAACCCTGGCCTTGGCAAGAACAAACTGAAAGAAGCAGCATAGCTACAGCAAGACCACTGAGACGTACATCCATTGCTAAGCTTGCCGAACACAGTTGATTGTTGATCAAAACTCGTCGCCCTATTCACTAACGTATGCACGCTTGCGAGACTGAACGAGAACTACCGTATCAAATGGCGTCTTATCATACCCTAGTTAACCGGGTAAACATGAATACTCGCATGAACTATGCACTCTGCCAGAAAAAACGAAAATATGGTTAATCAAATACCATGTTTTAGCACTGTTTGTAGGTTGTGCTAACGGTCTTTGGTTTTATATTCTTATTAATGACATTTTACACGTGGGGATTACAGCATTGCTTAAGTCCTTCTCCACGCTCTTCCTTACCTCCTTTGATCATGAGAGAATAAACATTCGAATTCTTTATCTTATTAGAACTAAAGCCCGGCGCACACGTGAGTTATTTTACTCAAGTAAAATGACGCATGAGTCAAATTACTCAACGAAAATCCGCCGCACACGTGAGTAAAATGACTCATGCGTCATTTTACTTGAGTAAAATTACTCACGTGTGCGCCGGGCTTTATTTACTCTTTCTAGACATTTAATGGCATACGTGAGAGCTAATCTGACGGATTTATGAGTACTCTTTCATCGTCGGCGTACAGCCGGGTAACTGTAATAAATTGTAGTTTACTGACGCCAGAAATAGGTGGGCAAGTACATATGCACCCAAAATAGTCCAGCATAGCAATGGATTAACGGATTATACGATGTGTAATCAATCACTGTAGATGTTTACTCAATACACTACGCTTTCTTGAGTTTGGCGCTAGTTCAATACTTATTTTAGACATCGGATATAAATGAATGCATTGAATACTGCTGGACTATTTAATATCCATTGCAAACCGTTATTTGTCATTTTCATATACGTTCATTTATAATTCGTGACAGCAGGCGGTATGTGTGTTTTCTGTGTGTACAAGCCAGGCTTTGTCAGCACATAATAAATTATACTAAAGATCTACGTACATGTAAGGCTGGTTGCCCCATGCGCTTTCTGAGCGATGGAAACCCAGTGCAATCCGACAGTGTGATCCCCTCTTGCTATTTAATTTATGATGTTCTTTGCTATCGTCATTTCTCTGCTTTAGTGATTGTAATCTTTATGTTTTTCCATTATCGCAAAAGGCTGTGGATAGATAATAGAACGCCTTATTCGAGACTGTATCAATTTCTTAAATATATTAGGGCAATGAACCGTAATATCAAGTGACACAAGTCTAATATCCGCTATATAGTGTCCAGCCTGCCCCAGAAATAGAATGTGTTGCACATCTTCGTCCTCACGTCGGTTTGAGCATGAGTTCTGGTTTTCCGGAGTCCGTTATAGGAATCATCTTGAATTGTTATGACGTCATAAGTCTCGAATGCCATGACTTTCGAACGACACTTCACTTCAAGCATGACGTCATGACTACTTACATGATGTTTCTGACAACGGACCACTGCATGGAGACTAAAAGACCGCGGAGAGTTTCAACCCTGTTATGTCTGTGCGTCTTCTCCCTATGTCTACAATATATAATAGCCGTTACAATATATATATAATATATAATATATAATATTATAATATTATAATATTATATATATTATTATATATAATATATAATATATATATATATAATGTATATAATATAATATAATATAATATAATATAATATTATATTATATAATATAATATAATATAATATAATATATAATATTATAATAAATATATTGATGATAATTTGCTTCAGGAAAATGTTATTAATAAACTTTGTTAATATGCGTACATCTGCGCATGTTTGACAATAAATTCCATATATAACAATAATAATACGTTATAATAATTCAGACATGCATACACTATTTATCTTATGGTTTAAATATGTTACAGGTCTTGTTTACGATGCGTTGGGAAATTACAGGGTGGCATTTTTCATTTCTGGCGTCCCAGCTGTTCTCGGTGCCCTGTTGTTCTGGCTGGTCAGACCAGTAGAGCAGGTATCTACATTCGAGCATAGTTTGCTCATTACTATTTTTTCACATCTGCTTGTGCGAGAATCTATGTATGCTCAAAATACAACTACTGTATATGTATATCGCGTGTTTATTCCGACGAATTTATGCATTTTTAATTATTTATGTTCTCTGTTGTTTTATTGCATTATGTTTTCCCCGTGATAACTAGTAATTAGTAATTATATTTTATATGTTATATATTATGTGTTTATCGTGTGTTTCTAGCATTTCCCGGCTGTGACAGAAGCTGAGGAGTTGCATGCAGGAGAAATAGAAGCACTAAAAGAAGATGGTAAGCGATCTTATTTAAATAATGTTTATTGCCAAATTAAGAATCGTTCACGCTTTCATGTAAAAAACAAATTAGCAGATTATTCGATAACTCGCCCTATTTCACTATCAATCATTACAATAACGTAAGTATTTTATGTACGTGTACATTGTTGCCACAGTGTTAGAGCGACATCATACGTACATTTTTGGCGTTGTATATATACATATGCACACACGTGAAGTCATTGTTTATCTATGCGTTTATAGACGTGCAACTACCAGCTTACGAGAAGGAGTGGCTTGTCCAACTGGAGTCGCGAAGCACCACTCCGCTGCCATTACGCCGACCACAGTTATCGGAACACATCAGCGCACTGACAAATAGCTTTAGCTCTCTCACCGGCTCCTTCCGTAATATCAATCGCCAGCCAGCCTGGCCCGTCCAACGTTTTGGGGCCGTATCCACCGAGGAATCGCTCGATGATTCTCACTAAGTGGCTCGAAAAGCCAATCTGCTGATTCGCAGCACTAGGCAATAATATGTTTTGAAAGAAACAGCAGGCGATTCATGATAATCGGAATTCTTTAAGGAGGCATCAAAAGATCATGATCGCCTGCACGCGATGCCATCGTCTAGGTAGAGCAGAGAGCGGCAGAGATACGAGTGGAAGAGTCATGCTTGTATCGAGAGGATGAGAAAATAGTGTTGTAGTTTATAATGCAACATATTGTCGTGCTTAATTTATAGGGCAGAGAAATAATTAACAATAGCACCTTTACAATTCTTGCGCATTGAGTTGAAGCATAAGTCATTTTGTCATTAAATCCGTGTAACTTTGGCCTGAATAATAATATATACTACTGGAAAATAATTGAATTTGATACACGGCTAGCGTGATATTGTTTAATCACCTGTAGACATTGTCCACTAGCGACATTTACCTATTTATGTCTCTGCTCTAACTATCTATCTATCTATTTATCTATCCTCGTTCGTCTGTCAATCCACCTCTCTCTCGGTCTATCTCTGTCTCTCTCTCTCTCTCTCTCTCTC